CAGCCAGCCAGGGGAGCTAGGGTTAAGATCTAGGCTAGGGTGGAGTGAAGCCTCATGAAAATCAGTTAGTTGTTGATCAACCCTTTCTGTGGAATGAGAGGTGGAATTTCATCCTGAGGATCCATCTTACCCTGATTATTATTTATTCACATCGATCGTATAGTATTTTCTCATTTTATTAGTGTTTGTATAAAATAATAATAATAAAAATAATATTAATTAGGAAGAAAAAGAACAAGATCTAGAATAAGGCATATCTCCATAATATGCAATAATACTGGGGTATTAGCTCATTCTGTGATGTAACATTTCCATTGGCTGAGTTGTGAGTATACGAGCTGTCAAGGATGATTAATGTTAGTCTACGCTGGACAAGGTTTCAGGAAGAAAGACATGCAAGGAAATATATAAATGGGCTGGATATATGAGACTCTATATTTCTCAATCACAAGATGTGGGTCCATGGGTCCCACCACGTCAAACTAAAGTAAATTCCACGTAAGATTGAAAAGATATTGAGAGGAACAAAAAAGTTTTAAATATCTAATATGTAACTGGACAAAATTACTTTTCTTCTAATTGTGCGTAAATCAAAACTAAAGGAGCTACGAGGTCACAAAGTTGTACCAGAAATGTCGCATGTTCACATTCCCTTTTTGCCTCGTATTATTTTATAGATAGAACAATATTTTTCAGTTTTCTTTGTATCTTATCAGAAATACTGTAACAATGTTGTGATTTTGGTGATCTTTTACGATCAGCGATTCAAGGGATTTTAAGATCGCTAAGATCATAGCTATCTAGGGGTATCATGCCCCCCCCCCTCCACCCCTTGTATAGACTTTTGAATCATAACGGTTTTAGTTGTGTTTACATGACAATCCTAAAAAGCCAAACAGATCTAAAAATAACCCAAGCGACGCCGTTGTTCCGTTATCTCGGAGGGCTGGGTGCAGGAGAGCTGGCTTGATCGGCCCGGGGAGCGAGGGTTAAGATCTAAGCTAGGGTGGAGGGAAGCTTGGGAAAAAGAGTTAGTTCGGCACGAACCCTTTTGATGAGAAGACGGGGGATTTTCTGAGCTTACTTCCACCGCCAATAATTATTTATTTTCATCAATCGTATAGTATTTTCTCATTTTATTAGTGTTTGTATAAAATAATAATAATAAATTGTAAAACCGTCTCGCTGAATATTTGATAATATGAGTTGTTTCCCTGACTTTTTAGCATATACTAGAATACTGTGCCAAATTCAAATTTCATTATTCAATGTTGAAAATAATTATCATTTAAGTAAGAAATGCGGTTTTTTAAAAGATCCTCTATGCATTTCTGTTTTTCCAGTCAGATTTGGATTTTAGAATTAATCGGAAGAAAAATAATTTAATAAAATGTTCAACAATTTTATTAAACTTTGCAGATTGAACTAAGATATTTTAGATTTAAAATATATAAAATAGTATTTTTAGAATTTTTGAGAAAAAATTAGACAATTAGAGAGATTGGCAGAATTATTCAAAATTCAAGCAATTCATATTTGCACAAAAATCGCATGACGCATTCTCAAATACTTTTCTCTCAATTTGTAGCTTTTAAGTTTCTAAAAGGCTGTTAAATGATATAACTGACCTGAAAGTTCATGACTACTGATCCCGCCGGGATATACAATGATATAACTGACCTGCATTCTGAAGGTTAATGAAAACAGATCCCAGGAATATCCACATCCCAGCAATAAATAACATCACCACACAGTCGGCATATTAAAACAAAAACACAAAAAGGAACTAAACATTAATAACATCACCACACAGTCGGCATATTAAAACAAAAACACAAAAAGGAACTAAACATTTGTCTTAAACTATAATTTTCATATTCCGATATTTTCGCAACAGAATGGTGTAAACCTTTCACATTTATATCTACGAACATAAAATCTATAATAATAGAATTTTTGAAATGTCAAAATATTGGGATAAGCTAATTTGAGGCAAGTATTCAGTTCTTTCAAAACTTAAAAAACAGCTTTTATGATAAAACAAACAAATTCAGATGATAACAGGTTTTACTTGATGAGTGGACTGTACACGAAGTTTCTAGTAACCTTCCAATTAAAAAGTTGCAAGCACGATTCACAACGGTACCCTTTACAACTTTGATAATTGCCTTCTTTTTTCTCTGCAAGTTAATTTCATAAAGAAACCAAAATCAAATAATTCATTTTCATTTGAAAACTTAATGATATCTTCATAATTTAGCTCAGACTCTTAAATTCGAGGTTAATTGAGATTACGTTGAGACCCTTCAAGTTCTAACCTCATATTAGCGTGTGATGCTGATAGTAGAGCAGCCTGCCACGCCTCTCTGTCCAGCTGGGTGTGGCAGGCTAGATACTGAACCTGCCCTCCCTCCCACACCAAATTAAAACCGTACATACACGAGTCTACAGTACAACAATTTCAAAATTTCAAAATTTCAAAATTTCAAAAACTTTTTGTGAAAAAATATTTAATATTTATTGTTGAAAAATTTCGCAAACTTAAATAAAAAGTTTCTGTACTTTGACATTCCAGACTAGAAGTTTGGATTTAAGGCTTTGTTGCACACAATACAAACAATCTAGTTCCATTTAGAGAAAAATACCCCAATATTACTTTGTATATTTTAAAGGGAGCGTTCACTATTTTTCTAAAAGTATTTTAATTTTTGAAACAATTTTCCTTCAGCGGTATCAAGTATTATTGTAAAGTTCTCCAACACAATTACTCCTAAAATTATATAAAATATTATTTTTCAATTACAAAAAATATCTTTTACACACATTAAACATTAGACGAAAGGAGCATAGTGTCGAGGATTTGGTTTGATAAAAATGAGAAAATAAATTCAACGGAAAGGTTTTGATGAACAAAAACAAGAAATGTTCAAGGACGTTTTCTCTAGTTCTTCTTCGGTAAAAAGTGTAAAGTATTTATCATTGTAGTTCTCTAGACCTTCATATATATCTACATTTTTAATATTTAAAAATAAAACTAATAATGATAATAATAATAATAATAAAAATAATATTAATTAGGAAGAAAAAGAACAAGATCTAGAATAAGGCATATCTCCATAATATGCAATAATACTGGGGTATTAGCTCATTCTGTGATGTAACATTTCCATTGGCTGAGTTGTGAGTATACGAGCTGTCAAGGATGATTAATGTTAGTCTACGCTGGACAAGGTTTCAGGAAGAAAGACATGCAAGGAAATATATAAATGGGCTGGATATATGAGACTCTATATTTCTCAATCACAAGATGTGGGTCCATGGGTCCCACCACGTCAAACTAAAGTAAATTCCATCAAATTCAGCAGATANATTCATATTTGCACAAAAATCGCATGACGCATTCTCAAATACTTTTCTCTCAATTTGTAGCTTTTAAGTTTCTAAAAGGCTGTTAAATGATATAACTGACCTGAAAGTTCATGACTACTGATCCCGCCGGGATATACAATGATATAACTGACCTGCATTCTGAAGGTTAATGAAAACAGATCCCAGGATTTAAGATGATATAACTGACCTGTAGGTTCTGACCACTGATCCCGGGATATAAAATGATATAACTCACCTGCAGGTTCTGACCACTGATCCCGGGATATAAAATGATATAACTGACCTGCTGGTTCTGACCACTGATCCCTGGATTTAAAATAGAACAATAAGTTCCCGCGCAGTCGACACCAGCGTTCCAGTGATACTGAACAAAAATAAACTTTTTAAAGGGATTGTAGGAGCAGGCGTAATTCAAGTGACCTCCCATTTGAAGAGTGGAGTGTCCGATTCACAGGATCCTGAAACCATTAACTGATCAAGGATGTTGAATATATCCTTATTAATCTACTGAAACCTTTAACTGATTAAGGATGTTGAATATATCCTTATTAATCTACTGAAACCTTTAGCTGATCAAGGATGTTGAATACATCCTTATTAATCTACTGAAACACTTAAAATTGTTGAGCACTATATTTGCAACCTGTTATAAAATTAAGAAATATCAAAATCTACTTTTCGAAGTGGCAGATTTCCTTTCGCTTTTATCACAAAAAATTCTTAATTTTTAGGGACGCAAGTAACAGATGAGCTGTATTCAGTTCAAAACCGTCAGCGGGTCTTACTGCAATTCAACCGCTATTCGAGAGAATTTTAAACGGAGCTCTCTATACTCAATTAACAGTCAAAGGTCACTTGAAATTACGCTTCCAGTCCTATTAAGCGGGGGGAAATAGTTAAGATATGATATATAAAATTCGTAAAATTTACACAGTTCTAAAAATATTACGTATACCACCACCACCAAAAAAAAATGTGAATTGTTGTCAAATATGCGACTTAAAATGTATAATGTACAAATGTAGAATTTATCATTATAAATCTATTTAAACCAAAAATGTATTCAAATATAAAGCCAATATTATTTTTATAAATCATCCTATATAAGTGTCTAGCTATTATTTACGGATATAATCAAGTGAAAGAGGGAGGAGGTAAATTCCCTCCAAGGTGAGAAAACATATTCAATTGTTTGCTGAAAAAGCATTATTTTACACTAAACCCCATGACCAATTAATTAAGTCAAGTATTAAAAAACGAAATAACCTTTCATAAATTTTTCAATTTCTAAACATGATTTTGCCATTCTTGAGCTAATATCAATATAAAAAGATATATATTATAACACACAATTGCTAATAAATCATGAGGAAGTAAATTTGTGTTGATAAAAAATTCAGATGTTTTCTTTAAATATATCATATTTCTACATTTTTGAGAAAGTAATGGTGTAGATAAATAAAAATAAAAGAGCAATAAAATGACCACTGAAAATATAAAACAATAAAATAAATTCTAAACCATGAAGCGCAAAATTATAATACTTGATAATCATTAAATGGTCTAAATGTACTTCCAGTTTTAAAAGTCTAATTTTATTTGAACAGAAATTCATAATTTTACGTCAACATTTTGTTTATCCATTTCATAAAATTTAATGTTAAGAAAATAAATTTGGCTCTTGTTTGTATTCAATAAACGTCATAACAGCTTAGACTCAACTTGTTGGTGGCAATGTTGATTTTAATTTTTAAAATCCATCAAAGTAAAAAGAAAAATATCCGCCAATTTATCAGTTTGTAGAATAAAATAGGCGACTTGGGAGGCAATATTTAAAGACTAAAATTGTTACTTGAAATGGCGGCACAAAGCGACCAAAAAGCCTAGTTTTCTATATTTGATAAGAACGTGAGGTTTTCTGTTAAGAATGTTCTCACTGTTATGGATGTGTCTATATTAATGAAATTCTATATTTTCTAAAGATGGATTTAGCAGAAAGTATTACAATAGTCCACATATATCTAAATCGTCTTACAAGAAATATCAGCTGTCAAATCTCACAACTAAGTTCAAATAAAAACATGAAAAAGAGCAAAAATAGATAAATCTTCATTTTTGAAATATTTGTCGATCAAATACATCTAGATTTTTTTCAAAGTAACCATTACAAAAATCGTTAAAGAAAAGTTTTAAACTCTCCTGTTTTTTTTTGGTCAGGGACGAGGGCGGGGGGAGGGTGGGTAACATAAAAACTCAATGTTACTTTAACTTGCAAGTTTTCACAAAACAAATCATTTTGATTTCCCATTAAGCCCAAATTCAGCAATTACATGGTCAACAACTATTTTTCTGCTTCTCTATAATCTCCTAAAATATTGGGGAAAAGATTAAAATGCTTTTTTTAAAAATATATATTTGTAGCAAATATCGTAGCAATCCCTATAATTGTAAACCTGAACATACCTAGATATATTACGTTCTAAATTGTCTGTAAATCTAAATGCGCTTATTCTTAACTACGCAAAACTTGAATGTGATTAGCCTAGCTAAGTACTGCGATTAGCTTAACTACGCATATGTATGTATCTGCGCAAATCTTGTAAAAATATCTATATTTACTTAACTTGAAACATAGATATCTAAATATTCGTCAGTTGGAATAGACTCTGCTTTGATTACAGTGACAGAGTAATTTGTTCCCCATTTAACGAAAGATTTGATGAGATTGTGCCCATTGGTTTGGCATTAATAGTTTACGAGCTTGTGTCTGTGTTGACATTGATAGCTGACGAGATCGTGACCATGTTTGGCATTGATAGTTTAATAGCTTGTGTCCGTGTTAACATTGATAGCTGACAAGATCGTGCCCATGTTTGACATTGATAGTTTTTGAGCTTGTGTCTGAATTGACATTGATAGCTGACAAGATCGTGCCTGTGTTTGGCATTGATAGTTTATGAGCTTGTGTCCGTGTTAACATTGATAGCTGACAAGATCGTGCCTGTGTTTGGCATTGATAGTTTATGAGCTTGTGTCCGTGCTGACGAGTTGTACCTGGATTGATACAAGTCTTAAAGCAGTTTTAGGAGTAGAGCATTTACTACAAATATAAACCTGATCTATTTTCGAAAATGGTCTTATTCAATAATTTTATCACACTACGTCGGGAAATATTTTTAGGTATAAAATTTGAAAATTGGATTGTAGGGTGAAACAGTTTTTTCGCCCTGTTGAAGGGCGATAAAGTCATTTAATCACCCTACAAATAAATTCTCTCAAAATTGAATAAAAAATATAATGCTGAATAATGAATTTGAATTTTTAAAAGTGCATGCCCAGCAGAACCCAAGCTAAATAGATTTAGAACCATCACCACAGAAAGAAGAAAAAGAAATCATAAATTTAGTAACAATGACCCATCACCATAATATCATTTCATAGGATTTTTTGCTTCTAAAAACCTTCAAATATAATATTTTACATTACAGATGCAGTACAGTACAGTACGTTCTAAAAATATTACGTATACCACCACCACCAAAAAAAAATGTGAATTGTTGTCAAATATGCGACTTAAAATGTATAATGTACAAATGTAGAATTTATCATTATAAATCTATTCAAACCAAAAATGTATTAAAATATAAAGCCAATATNCAGTACAGTACAGTACAGTACAGTACAGTACAGTACAGTACAGTACATTACATTACAGTACAGCACAGTAAAGTACAGTACAATACAGTACAGAACAGTACAGTAAAGTACAGTAAAGTAAAGTACAGTAAAGTACAGTACAGTACAGTACAGTACAGTACAGTAAAGTACAGTAAAGTACAGTACAGTTGAAGCACAGTTAAAAACCGTAGAGTACCGTAAAGTACCGCGCAGTACCTTACAGTACCAAACTGTACAATTGAGTTCCAGTACAATGCAGTGCAGTAAAAACATAAATAAAATCCTTATCTACTGTAAAATGTAGTAAAATAATATCTAACATTTTTCTTGAGATATTTAGCAGATATATCAAAGATAGTGCCAGCAGTGTTTTTACCATTTCTACTATTTATCAAAAAAAAATAAAGCTGAGCAAAATTTGTGTTTAAAATTCTTAATTTTAAAATAAATGATAAATACTATGCATTCGATAAAAAGTATACTTGCAATTAGGACAATTTAAAAAAAGATTGTTCTAAATTATTATATGTTACTGTTAAGCCCAAGTAGTTTAAATCAGATTGCAATTCGAAAGCGTGAATAAAGTTACATTTAAAGCTTAAAATCGTTTTCTTTTCTGTTCTTTAAATATGTAAGCAATCCTTTTGAACGCCGCCATTATTGTGCTAAAAAGTAAAGTGAAGGAAGGATACTGTGCCCGGTCACCAATATTACCTCTGCCCGCAGGACCTATGCATATTAAGCTAGACCCAGACTTCTTTTTAGTTTCTAAATCAGTCATTTTTTATATAATTTTAAAAGGGAAAGCGGCGTTTCTTGAAAGGGGATGTTTTCTGAGACATCTTGGACTCACTTTAAAACCAAAATGACTACCTTTAAGTATATTTAAACGAGTATCAAGCTAAAAAGAAGAGATTTTGTTTCTTTATTTGCCTTAAATAATTTTTAGAAAAGATCTATAATATTTGATCCTTACAATCAACATCCATAGACTCAAACTAAAATAAAATAAAATAAAATAATAGTCTTAAACCAAGGCAAATACTGAAGAAAACTCTTAAAAATATATATTGTGAAGGAAGTCGTTTGTAAAGTCTCCTTTCGTGTAATCAAGTCTCCGCAAATTTCTTTTGGTTATTGGATTTAAGAATCATTAAGGCTGAACACTTGGCTCTAATTATAGTGTTATTATCCTTATATCTTTCAAACCTGATGTAGATTTTAGCCAATGATAGTTTTCTAGCAAGTGTTAACCAAAACCCCCCAACCTTTTTAATGTACTCTGCAATAGAATTTGCAGTCTTTATTTAACCAATTAAACGAATATGTGTGGAGAACAAAGGACGAAACAGTGAAGATGACTGAACAAACTCGGAGGACAACAATGAATAATGATGAAAAACCCAAAATTTCAATAAAGTTAAAAATACTTTTATCATATTTAGGTTTGAATTGACAAAGCTGTTATTATACTTGAATTCAGCAACATAAAAGTTGAATATCCGACTTCAACAACGTAAATGGATCAAACATAGAAAGATATTTATTTATATTTACTTAAGGGAAAGGAGTTTGTAAAAAAAAATTTGATCCCTATTTGAATTAAAAGTATTAAAGATCTTTATTTTTCCTTTCATTATTTTCACGGATTTCCTAATTAAACAGGGTGAACAATGTCCGTAAAGGTCGATATTTCCATAATAATTGATTAGATAAAGGTTTAAATAAAACCATGATTACAAACTTTTTAAAATTAAGTGGACAGACCCTTTAAAGCTTGACCTTAATTAATTTCTGATTTTTACTTACTTTCATTTCTTCTGAAGAATCCGTCCTGCCTTTCCCGTACAAACATTACACCCTCCTTATCAAACCTAAAATATTATATTATTAAGTACCCCTCAAAACCACAAACCCAGATCATCAAACATTATCTAAAAAGCACATTTCCCAAAAAATATTAGCTTTGAAGTTTAAACATACATCAAATAAATATGATTTACTTGATGGTTTAATATATAAGTCAATCTAGATGAAGAATCCAAAGAAAATGTTAAGGCAACCTTAGATCAAGAAACTTAAATCATAACATATAGGAAAGAAAAAATTATACAAAAAATAAAGATAAAGAACAGGTTTTATAGTGGGGAAAGTATGATATTAGGTAGGAAGGGAGCTAAATTGTTTACCTCTGACCTATCTGACAGAGGAAGGTATGAGTTGACCCTGCAGCTTGAATTACCTGTGACATATCTGGCAGAGGAAGGTATGAGTTGACCCTGCTGCTTGAATTACCTGTGACCTATCTGGCCGAGGAAGGTATGAGTTAACCCTGGTGCTTGTATTACCTGTGACCTAGCTTGCACAGGAAGGTATGAGTTGACCCTGCAGCTTGATTTGCCTCCTATCTGGCAGAGGAAGGTATTAGTTGACCCTGCTGCTTGTATTACCTGTGACCTAGCTGGCCGAGGAAGATATGAGTTGACCCTGCTGCTTGAATTACCTGTAACCTATCTGACAGAGGAAGATATGAGTTGACCCTGCTGCTTGATTTACCTGTAACCTATCTGGCAGAGGGAGGTATGAGTTCACCCTGCAGCTTGACTTTTCTGTTACCTAGCTTGCACAGGAAGGTATGAGTTGACCCTGCAGCTTGTATTACCTGTAACCTAGCTGGCACAGGAAGGTATGAGTTGACCCTGCTGCTTGATTTACCTGTAACCTATCTGACAGAGGGAGGTATGAGTTGACCCTGCAGCTTGACTTATCTGTTCCCTTTCTGGCAGAGGGAAGTATAAATTGACCTTGCTGCTTGAATTACCTGTAAGCTAGCTTGCACAGGAAGGTATGAGTTAACCCTGCTGCTTGAATTACCTGTAACCTATCTGACAGAGGGAGGTATGAGTTAACCCTTCTGCTTGACTTATCTGTAACCTATCTGGCAGAGGGAGGTATGAGTGGACCCTGCTGCTTAATTTTCTGTGACCTAGCTGGCAGAGGGAGGTACGACTTGACCCTGCAGCTTGAATTACCTGTAACCTATCTGGCAGAGAGGAAGCATGAGTTGACCCTGCTGCTTGTATTACCTGTGACCTAGCTGGCAGGCCAGCAGACCCATCTCTGTTCTGTTAAACTTCATCCTTGACCCGCCCACTACCACCTACATTAATAATCAAATAATAATCTATCTTAGCCCATCCAATTTTGTAAAGAAACAACAATTGAAAATCATCTGTTTTCAAAATTAAAAAGATTAAATAATTCGTTCTTGATCAGACAAAGTTTAAAGGGGTACCGTTGTTAATCGGCATTGTCATCTTTGCATGAAGGGTCATTTGGAATGGTTTAAGGGTCCCTTAAACCATGAACCCTGAAAGCTGGAGGACCGTGAGTCAATATTTAGTGAAAATAAAGCCAGTATAAAGAGTTATGTCTGGACTACAAAGACACACATTGTTGGCGAGTACACTAGAAACCTTTGCCAGATTATTTCAGATTTATCATTCCGACTGATTTATCAGATTTATCAAATTTATCAGTTCTATCAGTTTTATCAGATTTATCATATTTATCAGAAATATCAGAAATATCAGAAATATCAGATTTATCAGATTTATCAGATTTATCAGACTTATCAGATTTAACAGATTTATCAGTTTTTCTTCAACATACAGAGTTCATTTTCTTTTATAAAATAGGAACAACATTTTTGTTCAAAATAATTTGAATTATTGAATTTTTTAAAACTAATTATTGTTTTAGAAAAAGTTGCCAAAAAACAATGGAAAAGAATGTCCAGAATACTTTTGCAGATTCTTCCTTAAGCTAGTCAAATATCAAAAGTGCTGTTGACTGATACACAAACATCTAAACAATTTGTTTTTAATCTTTGTGACAGAAACAATCTCAAGGAATAATAATTGTCTTAAAACATTTTTTTTTTAACTGAATATTTGCAAATTATCTTTTATCCACCTCATAATCTGAGTTCGTTTTCTTTGGGTTGTCAAATGGTCATAAAGGAAACGAACTCAGATTATNACCGAAATATATTTTCAATAAATGTGGAACTAACATCTACTTTTTTACTTTACAGAGGTTTGGCCCATCACCATCACCGAATTTTAAGACTGATATTGATTTCTGGATATTTTGAACTAACGCAGCATTGCCTCAAAAAAAGAACCAAAAAGTAAGTTGGTGAAGTTTTACGAGCTTGATAAGGATTACTGAACTGACCAGCAAAAGAATTAGTTAAACCAGCCAAACCTAGTTCAACTACTTCCCACTTATTTTTAAAGCAATTGAGTCTTTACACAAACTTTAATTTTCTAATCCCTATATCTTTGCAAACCAATGTCGTAGACCTAAAATATTTCAAGCTGTGAATTCTGTTAGATCAAATAATCTAAGTTTGAAATATCAAAGATTTATTCCATCAGGTTGCAAATATAAAGGGAAAAGAAAATGTAAGTTTGAGGCAAAGACTCAATTTCTTTCCTTCTTTGTAAAATAAGTTTACTACAGTGAACCCCAAGATATATGAATACATAGCAAGACTTCTTTATAATGTCATATTACATATTCAATATCAAAGCCGCGAAAAAATGAGTTTAATATTAATATATCAATTGCCTTCATATTTCAGGGAGAATTATCAAAAAACTTATGACGGTCTATGTATTCATATATCTGGGATTCACTCTAACTAAATTTATTTTCCAAAAATCAGTGTTCACTTAATGTAGAGAAAAGTTCCTAATGTTGTGCCCTAGAACATACACAATAATACACGATATACATGGTTTAATCAAGACCCACCAACATGCCTTATATGTTTTCTATCCAAATGTAAGGAAAATCAGAGTTTTGATAAAAAAACGTTCTTTTTCTGGTTTCGTGTCATTTTTTATAGAAGGAGGGGTGGGGTTGGGGGTGGGGGT